TATGGGGCATATCTAGACAATTGCGTAAACTGCACATCATATTCAGATACTGTCTTCCTGGGTGCCTATCTCAAAGCCTCAAACTCCCTGGCCTTAGCCGCTCACACACTATGAGGCATAAATCTATCCATAAAGGCTTTATCAAACTCTTTCCACCCAAGCGGACCGGCATCACTAGATCTACCCCTCATGTATGATGCAATCCATTGTTGTGCCACGTTCTCTAAATGAAAACTAGCCAAGGTTACTGACCTGGTGCTCGAAGCTCCCAAAGCACGACAAATACTTTCCATAGTGTCTAAAAATCTACGTGGGTCCTCTCCCACTGTAGAACCAGTAAAGAATGGAAGTTTTAGCTTCATAAATGCAGATAATGATACTGAGTCATCTCCTTCACCATCATGCAAATTATTTTCATCCTCCTCCTCTGACCCTTCCACTATCATATCTGCATCTGGATCATAATCCGGATCTTGTGAAGTAGACTCCATGTACTCTTCAGCCATACTAGTACATCTTTGAGTAAATTCAATAAACTGTTGGGTCAAATTTTGTAATCCACAAACTAACTCATCCAAAGTAATATTCTCTACAGTAGGTTTACCCGTTTCAGTACTGTTCGTACTAGCACTCTTTTGATCACTTGAACTACCCTCACTTGAGCGTCGAGAACTCCTCCTCCCTTTAGTTTTAGAACGACCTCGTCTGCGTAAGAAATCCGTAATCGTTCATCAGTTTCTCGAGGCGCATCTGATTCACCCGTAACCCTCCAAGATGCTCGTGTCTGAGGTGGCATCTCAAACTTGGACATCGATAATAAATTCCAGTTATTTAATGATCTTTTATAATTCCACATGATGATTTTCCAAGAGAAAGAGGTCTACGTAGCCTCTTGCCTATAATTGATGCTGCAGTCACTAACTATAAGCAAGATTCTACATTGACCCTACTACTCTGCTGCTTGACACGAGAATTCCTAGGACTCAACTAAACGTAGGGCTCTGATACCAAGTCTCTACTGACCTTTTCCTTCGATCGCTATCGGCGTTCTAGACTTGCATGTGAACTCGCCAAATCCTAAACAAGCCTTAGTTAAACCTCTAGGCAATTTAAACTCAAATTACAATTTTAATGCCATAGTTCATTTAAACCAAATAATCACAATATTTAAAACGTGGCATCTAGAAACTAATAACCAGGTTTGATAATTCCATATGATTTCAACATAATATGTAGTAGTCATTAAATAACCTTAAGCTCTAGCTAGTACATTTCTAGTACTATATTCATTACAAGCCTGACTAGTTGACACAAACCGACCTCTAAGTAGTGAAGCGACTCTGAGTGGAAGTCTAGAGATACCCTTACCTAGGTTGTAGCCAGCTTGAGATGCTGAACAAAGCACTAGAATTGATTACTTATCTGTAAAAGAAAATAAAAAGGGGTGAGTCTCACAGACTCAATGATCATCAACTTCGTGAGTAGGACGTAGATGGCAAACAAAGTAAAGGCAGAAGATATGAATATTAAACATGTAAGAATATATGTAAACAATTTACTCAAAAAGGAAGGTTTGTTCCTTATATGAAAATAAGTAAATTTATGCTAAATAATCATTTAAATCAAATACCAACCCAAGTCATGGAAAGATTCCTACCATCGAAATCACTTAACATCGGGTTTAAAGTAATTAAATGTCATCATGCATGCTCTCATAAAATCCAACATTTTACAAAGCTTACGCACAATTTCATAATTCACCTCGTTTAAAGCAAATTTCAGCATATAAGCAAAGAAGCAACAGAAAACAATTATTTTTCACCATGCAAAAATTACTTACATGAAAAACCCAAAAAGATATCAC